TTGAAACTATGTTCATTGGACTCAAAGATGTGAATAACATATGATTAGACCCCAAATTTAACATTTTTGAGCGAGGAGAAATGCAATTACATACCAAAATATTTGATTTTTGACAATTTATGTGGTGGCCATCTTTGATTTCAAAATGGCTGCCATCCTAGCTTATGGAAGTTATTCTTATTGGACTCAGAGAGCCTAATTGCATATAAGTAGACATCATATTTACCATTTTTCAACGACAGGAAGTGGAATCCAAAAACATGTTCCGCCCTTTTTATGATTACTATGGCAGCCATCTTGAATTTCAAAATGGCTGCCATCCTAGGTTTTTGAAACATATCTAATTGAATTCAGTGACCCTAATAACATATAGTTAGACACCATATTTACCCCTTTTCATGGAGTAGAAGTAAAGTTATGAGCCATTCGCTTGATTTTGGCGGCCATTTTAAAAAATGGCCGCCAAAAACATGTTCCGCCCTTTTTCAGGAGGCTCACCCCCGCTCATTTTTTTATTTATACCCTAGTAATGCCAAATCAGCAGAGAAACCTTGGTCCCCGAAAAATGGTCACGGGGGCCCATTTTTTCACTATACTAGCTGCTGTACTCATTTTCACAAAGGAATACACGCAGCTGGTTAGCTAACAATATGCTAATGTTACATGAACACCTGGGAAGTAAGGTGCAATCACGTTCTCTTGCCTAGCAAACATCTGTACTGTAGCGTGGGGGGCCTAGCCTACTGATGTACTGTGTTGCGGGGGAAGATGAGGCATAATAAGACTAGGCCTAGGCCTAAAGTAGACAGTGCAATTATATGTGAAAGAAAGTACACTTTCGAAAAAAATAAATTAAAATAAGAAAAAAATTTATCTAGGGCCTAAGAATAATTCAGTTGCAGACATACATTGTTTAAGTATTATACAATGCTAACAATGCGGCTCTTGTAGCCCTAGCTAGGCAAGGCATCCATGGCAAAGCAGTGGTGATTGTTTATCCATGAAAAAGCACGCCGGGAAAGTTTGCCTTACTAGGAAAAGGTGACGTAATCTAGCTTATAACGTATGCATGCTAACTATATTGTGAGTGTGACTTCACCAAAACATAAAAATGTTCTATTATAACCAAAATATTAAGAACTACAAGTTTTTCTCGCAAATCTGACTACAAAACCATATCGAAATTTCGCGTTCCACGTTTGACTCTAAGTTTTGCTTCGCACACGCCGCTAAGGGTGGCGTTTCGGGAACCCTGCGTCTATCGAAGTGTTTTTTGAGTAAAGGCTTTCTGTCTGGAGTAAAGGCTTTCCATCCTGCTCTTATTCGTCTACTGGTGTTGTTTGTCTTAGTATTCATTCTCAGAGAGACCTATTGTCCAACATTACATGTATTCGCCTACTTTGTGAACATGACATTGTCTATTTTGATTTTTATTTTGGGTTGCTTTTTAGTGACATATGGTTACGATATCGTCTGCCGCAAACAGAGATGTCAAATTTTCTCAGAGTATTATCTATTTTAATGACGACCGTACATAATCTTTCCTACCCTTTGATCAACATAATTGCTATTTTATGTAAATTGTAATTTACTGTGTTATTTTCATGATAAGTAAACATTACATTTTATATTTTATAAACGATTTATGAATACCATATGTTTTTTTTAATGACGATTGTACAAGAAAACTTATAATAATATAACAATTATAATACAAAATAATATTATTAGTAAACGAATATTTTATCATTTTAATTAAAAATCAACTCTTTCTTGATTTTTTGACGAATGTGCAAGATTGTGATAATAATAATTATATTTCTATATGTATTTTTTTTTACTGTAAACAGTGTACTGTTCAGATTTAATTTTCTTAGTATGACGATCTGTGCAGGTATTAAAATTTGTTTCAGACAAACATATTATATCTACTTGATATATCTTTAAAACTACAAGAAAAATAAATTCTATATATGTCCATTATTTTAGACACAAGAGTTTCCAGAGAATGTTGGATATCGGTTTTCAGATGTCAAGTACATTCAACTTATCGTTCATTACGATAACCAAAATCTTATTAAAGGTAACCACAATACAATTTATAAACAAACTGTAGAATTAAAAAAAATTAAGGCAACACAATTAAACAAGAAATATTGTTTCTTATATTATTAGTATAGCCATTGATTTTTGTGTCTATCCTGATCAAAATCAGCTTTTTGTTTAAACGCTCGTTTTGCTCTTTATATTTTGATTGTCAATGTTTTCACTTTTTTATTTGCTTTTTTTCGCAGCTGTCATTCTCATGTTGTTTTATACGCTTTTAACATAACGTATTGTAGGCCTACTAAACCGTGTTTTATATGCCAATTTTAACTTTATTTACTTTTGTATATTGTTTGTAACTTACAAAGTTTGTCAGATGAATGAATGAATGCACCCACCAACCATGCTTTTTGGTGATTCAGTTGATTTTCTAGTATTCCTATTTTTGCTGCGTACCTCTGGTAGGTCAGCTATTCAGACAGTATCTTAACACCTTTATTTATTTTACGGATTCATGCAGGTATTAATGACAGCTCTGGAATACGTCTTTACCATACGCCAAAACTTCGTCAATATGACGCAAGTGTACTGTTGGCAGGTCTTGATTCAAGATACTTGTTCATGATTCCACCTAAGGAGGAAGCATTTAAAGTGTACGGTTCTTGTGATACAAAATGTTCAGAAGAGGTAAAGGAATCAAAATATTTACTACAGTACTTAGGAGTGTATATTTTGTGGTGCCTATAATTACTTCGCCACATACGTTAGAGAAATAAGAACAAATTGAGAGTTAAGCTCTTACGTAAAAATTCAAATGTGGTTTTTTTTTTATTTTTTTATTAACTAGAAAAACTAATAACGTGAAGCTGCAGCTTTTATGAAACAAGTCTTTTAAAATTTCTGATTAAACCAGTTTAACTTTAAAGTTTTACCATGATATTTTCCGTACCGAAATTTCTTAGTAGACATTGCTCTTTTTTGTAGATTTAGCCATACGTCCTTTAGTTGATTTACCTCTACTGACTATTAAACGCCTACTAATAAGTAGGTTTTTGGTAGATTTCCCGTACATTTAAGTACCTTTTAGCTTTATTGGTCTTCGCGGAGGATTAAACAACAATATCAATAACTCCGACCATCTGCTTATCAGTGGTTCATTATTAAACTATTTTATTTACCTACATACTACAACAATCCACATTATTAGTTGTCTAAGCAACACTTCTACCAGCTGTCTGTCGTCTAGTAACTGACTACCTATAGTAATTCTAAAGTAGACTACTGATAGATGGATCAAAGCTGACTGGATTAGACGACTAATATGTGTTGTGTAGTATTTCTCGCAGCAGACGACTGATAGGTTGATTGTAGAATTAATTAATTAGTATTAACATTTTCTAAAGTTAATTACAATCATACGTAATTTGAGACCTTAGTTAATAGTTATAGTAAATGTAGTAGTAGTAATTAGTTTGGCAAGAATGCTTATTACTTGTTTTTTGACTTATTTATAATTTTACTGGTATAACGGCGTCTATAAATACTGTGTTTGTTGTTGTAATGGAAGGCACTTCCCAGTTTTTCCTTTACAGTTTGTCTTTACAAAATCTGAAAAAAAAACCAATTTTTATTATATATTTAATTTCTCTATCAGTCACCTACCTAAAACCTTATAGGTAGATTGTAGTAGATGACTAATAGGTGGATTGTAATAGTTTTGTAGTAGACGACTAATAAGTGGATTGCAGTAGGTTTATGAGGACGACTGATAGGTAGGTTGTAGTAGGTTAAAGAGGACAAATAATAGGTGGATTGTAATAGTGTTGTAGTAGACTACCGATAGATGATTGTAGTAGTTTTGTAGTAGACACAATAATAGGTGGATTGTAGTAGTTTTGTTGTAGACTGATAGGTGGATTATTGTAGTTTTGTTGTAGACAGCTGATAGATGGATTGTAGTATTGCAATATACAGCTGACAACAATTGAATTACTATCCGAAAAATGTATCATTTGTTATATTTTATATCTTTTATTTAATTGTTATTTATACTGGGTTTCCTCTACAGTAAAATATAAATGTTGTCCAAGTGTGCCAAGTACTTTACTTCACTATACGAAACATATTACAAATACATAATTACATACATGTTTAAAAAATAATAAATAAGTATAAACCTTTTGTAATTATTAGAAGTTATTTAATAATAATAGTAGATAGTAGTAGTCGTAGTTAGTTTGTCAAGAATGTTTAAAGTTTGTTCTTTCCTTATTTATAATTTTACTGGTCTACGACGGCTGCAAATACTGTGCATGCTGTTGTAATAAAGGACGGCACCATACTTATTTTACAGTATGTCTTTACAAAATCTGAAAAAAAAACAAGTGATATTTATTAATATATTTATTAAATATAAGAGTTTAAAAATGTTTTATTTAGAGGCTGTGCAGGTTTTCTTTTAAATATTAGGATTTTACTTCCAAATTGTTATTTTTTATAACACACATTACACAAAAGAAGTTTTGTATGCCATTTATTTTTTAATTAATAATAAATAAAACATAATTATAGCAAAATTATTATATACCATATGCAAATTATTTATTCGAATGAATTCTCCGCTTTAAACAAACGCCCCCTGAATAAACACCCCATCCGGATTCTCTTTTGGAATAAACGTTTCCTTCGATTAAAGGCCTTGGGGCGTTTATTTTTTTCCCAAGAACAAACGTCCTCTAAATGACTTAAACTAATGGAAGCAACATCAGTCTCAACACATTTCATTAATGTTATACTTCAGTAGAATTTCATCGTTTTAATTGGGTTGTCTTCAAAAACACAATAACATATTTTGATGGTAACTATGTATTGTAGTTCCACATTTACAATGTAATAAATTAACTATTACTTAAACTAATGGAAGCAAAATCAGTCTCAACACATTCCATTAATGTTCTACTCCAGTAGAATTTCATCTTTTTGATTTGGTTGTATTCATGAACACACAATAACATATTTCGATGGTAATTATGTGTTGTAGTTCCACATTTACAGTGAAATTGAAAAGCATTTATTAGATGA